TAGGACAATGTATACCGTTGACCCTCTACATCCACAGATTCCCAACTGGGGATCAAAAATACTTTCTTAACCCATGGTTTGTTGAATCCGTTGATGGAAACCTGGGGATATGAAGGGCAGACTGTATGTTTATTGACAAAACATCCACATATAAGTGGATCAGCACAGATCAACCCATGTTGTTCAAGCATTAACTGTACAGTTGAATCGGAACGAGGGATGATATACAGGGAGGAACCTCACAAGGTCCATTTGATCAAAGTCCTCTCTGTCCCACTGTCTCTAGATGTCCCAGCAAACATGTGTTTACTAGACATTAACTCTTGTCACCTCCCTGTGAATTGCTTATTTCCCTTTGAAATCCCAGATCCTTACCTCCCTCTCCTTAGTCCAGGATGATATATACCTCATTTTGCTTTACTGTCTTTGGAATTCTTCATGCTTATATGAATTCCCCATATGTATATATTAAATTCGATTTTTTCTTGTTAATCTGCCTTATGTCATTTTAATTATTCCACCAGCCATAAGCATCAAGACGGGAAGGGGTAATTTTCCCTTCTCCCACAATACAAAAATAAAAGGATTCAAAACATTTCTCTTCCTTCATGAATTAGCTTCTGTTAATGTTTCCAGAAGTACAGAAGTTTGCCCTATGCCTCTCATTCCAAATAAAATGACTACCTTAAAATAACATTCATAAATAAATACACCTAAATATGGGTACGTCTGAAATAGAACCAACCTCCTAATACAGTAGCAACTGTGGCTATCAGCATGCTTTATGCAGCCTGGGATAGTGGCAGCCGGCCAGCACATTATCCTCTAATCCATTGCTCGTCTACCTCCTAAATGCTATAAATATTCATGTGTGCCACAGAAAGCTACAAAGGGCTTTATTCAAACATTTTTTTGAATACTCCTTTATGTTCCCCCCAAATGAAAGAATGTCTGCCTTTTTTTTATTTTTATTTTTGCATAAAGATCAGAGTGTGAATTCCCTTTTGTTCATACTCATAAATCCTGAAAACCAATATGCAACAAATTCTCTAATCCTCACTTCATACCTCAAGGGTGAAGAGGTTCAAAATAAAAATACTTAGGGTTGGCACGGCAGTTTGCTGCGCCTGCCATGCTGCCACCACGAGAAGGCATCTGCGTTCCTGGCTCCCGTGGTGACTTCGACCCCTGGCAGGGGCTCCTTTGGGGGATTTAGCCGACCAGCCCCACAAAGGCTGCCAGCTCTGCGCAGGACCTTGGCCTTGCTGGTGACTGACTGGGAACCAACCTGAACAGGGAGCTGTATCCTTCCCTAAGACACACGGGAATCACAGCGCCACTGGTGGGAGTTGTATGCAGCAGTGACTGTGGCATGGGGGGTGTGGGGGTGGCGGGGCTATGGAAGAAGGAGTTGGACAGTTTTAATTATTCCCTTCTCCCACAATACAAAAATAAAATACAAGTGCCAGGCTGGTCAAAGCCAGGTTTAAAAACCATAATCAAACCTTTTCAAATTCTATCATTTTCCAGTAACAACTAACCCATGGAAGGGCAACTGTAAAAGTAAACAGTCATGATTTATCAAATGAAATAAACATTATAGTTGCAGGAGAACACACAGTACTCTTTCTGTATCCTTCCTCCCCATCTTTCTCATAGTAATAAACCCCCCTAATTTTTAGTGGGTCACATGGATACCCCAAATAAGGGCTACATATCCTACCTTCCCCTTTCATGGGACTACATTTCTGACCAGTAAAGTGTGAGCCGAGTGCGAGTACAACTCCAGGTCTTAGCCTTGCGGGGAAGAAGCATGTTTCTGCCTTTTCCATTTCCTCTTCCCTCACTGGAATGGGGTCCTGGCAGTCGCCCCCTTGGACCATGTGGAAGGTGAAATGAAGAGAGAATTCTGGAACTGTGGCTGCCTCCTGGCATAGAGTTACCATACTGACGTGGACTTTAATGTGAGATAGAAATACACATACCTGGCTTAAGCCATTGTTAATTTAGGTTTCTGTTATTGCAGCTGAACTGCTATTGTAGCCATTCAGTAGCCTTTAAGCAAAAGTGGACTCTTCCTGCATGACCGGCATGGCTCAGTGGTTGAGCATCAATTTCCGGTCAGGGCACATGCCCAGGTTGTGGGCTCGATCCCCAGTGGGGGGCGTGCAGGAGGCAGCCAATCAATGATTTTTCTCTCATCATTGATGTTTCTCTCTCTTTTCCTCTCCCTTCCTCTGAAATCAATAAATATATATTTTTAAAAAGTGGACTCTTCCTGGAGCAGAGGGTAAAGGACCTCTCCCCCACTGCTAGGCATCTAAGAATCCACTGCTACGAGCATGAAGTGCAGAAATGGGGGAGGGGATCTCCCTTAACGCCCACTGAATGCAATCTTGACCTTGCCTTTGCGGGTTATGGGTACATCTAAAAACCCAGATGAAACAACTTCATCCTCCTTGTGGATATTTTTGCTGTTCTTGTTTGTTCTGTCTAGTTAACTTTAATGGTCAAAAGTTCTAAAAAGTTCAATCAACTCTTTTAGGAAACCCCGACTTCTATGCCTCTGTGTGTGTGTGTGTGTGTGTGTGTGTGTGTGTGTGTGTGTATATATATACATTTTATATATATATTACATTTTATTGATTTTTTTACAGAGAGGAAGGGAGAGGGATAGAGAGTTAGAAACATCAATGAGAGAGAAACATCGATCAGCTCAGCTGCCTTCTGCACACTCCCTACTGGGGATGTGCCCGCAGCCAAGACTGGATGTACATGTTCGCAGCCAAGACTGGATGTACAAGGGAAGTACATGCCCTTGACTGGAATTGAACCTGGGACCCTTGAGTCCGCAGGCCGACGCTCTATCCACTGAGCCAAACCGGTTAGGGCGCACATGTATATTTTATAGTCAAATGGTTGGCTTAGCCACTGCTCTGTCTGCATTTCTGCATAAGTCACCCGGAAGGTTCTTTAACTATTTGCTAAATCTCTCATTTCCGGAAAACAGGTTTTCTTTGGGGAAATATGTTTAATTCTCCATACAATAAGTAAGCAAAGAATTTTTTTTGTTTGTTTTTTACTTTGACCAAAGGATTATTAAACTGACACAGTAAGAGAGATGTCCATACCCTGCCCTTGGAGCGAGGGGTGAGGGGACGGCTGCTGAGAAAATATTTGCCCTCTAGGATAGAGTGTCTTTGAAGAGTGTGAACTCATGTGCTATTTCTCAGGAAGCTTAAGACAGGGGAACCTAGTGCCCAGCAATTGCTGTGCTTCTTTTTCAGACTGGGCATTGCAATAAGCTCATTCCCAAAGCTGAATGGTGTGAGCCTTATAGGATGACTGCAGGGTGTTTCAAATTCTCCTGGAGCCTTCAGGTTACCTGGGTTTCAAGAAACAAATAGAAGAACCGTTTTCTGGTAAGACTTCTACCGCACTCTATTGCTTGCAGGAATGTAAGTATGCTTATATCCTCAGGTCCCACCCACACTCTCCAGGGATAGGTGGAGTAGGCACAATCTCCATTTTCTACTGGGGAGACTGACAGGCAGAGAAGGGGTACCTGCAAAGTGATGAGGCTGAGAATTGAACCTCATGTGTCCCAAACTCCAAGCCCTTAGCTTCTGCAAGAACCACATTCATCACTGCAAACCATGGCCCCGGGCAGATGTTCACCCACAGATGCAACACTAACACCTCGTCTATCCAGGCTGCAGCCAAAGGATTCAGAAGACAATGGAGCATTCCATTCATATGCACTATGCAGCTAAATAAAAGTTTTGGCATGACCTGCTTTATGATAAGAAAATAAACTGCAAAGTAACCAATGCCAGAAAACACAGTCTATTTGGGGGTGGGGGAGGGAGTAAGATTGAAAAATACTGATTATGGGCCAGTTCCACATGTGTTTTTTATAAAAATTTTGGGTTTGGATATGAAGATTTTCAAGCTCCCTCTCTGAACTTCAGTGAACTTTATTGGAATAAACAATAGACATTCAGATGAATAGTCCCTAATAAAGATCGGCTATAGAGTTGCCTTTTACCTACATGCACTAAAGTCAGGTTCGGCAGGTAAGCATTTCAAAGGCATCCTGGGGCAGGCAAGTGCCACAAACCTTACAGCAAAACAACGCCGCGGGAGTCACTCTGGAGCGTTCTGCATTTTAGCAGCAGGCAGCCCAGGACCAAGCACGGGCGTGAAAGCTGCCGCTGCTGTGAGCCACGGCACAAACACTATTCAACCTCACAAAAGAGACTGACAGAGTAAACTAGCAGCCAATTTGAACCAAGGATTTCGAAACTCCTTTATGTGTAACTCCCTTTTGAACATGGCAGCATATATGAAAATTATTTCCTTTATTAGTGCAAATGCAAATTTCATTTGGGAAAAAACCAACAACAACAAAGCGGTTACGGTGATAATACTGCACGTACCATTTTTTCAAAGTTGACTAGATTGTCAATGAACGTCTTGTTCCCCTCATGAGTAAATGTCATATCTGCAAAGAAATAAAAGTCACATTCTGATCCCTAACAGAAATATGTCACACTAAGAAACCACAATAGCACCATTAGATTATGCTGGAGGATTTGCATAACACTGCAGTGGGAAAAAGCTGACGATAGTTCCTTTTATGTTAGGTGGTTAACTTTCTAAATCACTTTACCTGCGGTTAGTAAAATTTCCCCACTAACCCTCTGTTTTCCTCTCAAGGCTTCCAAATTGTGGATTCCTGCTCCTCCAATCATCTTCCCAACCCTTTCAGAAAAATCAAGACTGAGAGGAGATGCAGAAGGTGGAAGGGCGCCATCATTCTTCCCCAAGAGGTCAACCTGATGAGGCCCTTGTTCATTTCCTCTCCCATCTACTCATCGCTGGCGTGGCCCGCGCACTTTCTTAGAATTACCTTTGATGAGCAAAGGCATGAAGGGGATGAGAGGAGGCTCCAGCTTAGCGACTGTCAGCCGGTAGGCCCTGTGGTTTCTTGAAGGGTCCTTCAGGGAAACAGAGAGGCTGATGAACAGTTAATGACACATGCACCACGCCCCTGACCTCCCACACACCCCGCCTTGTCATCCCACAATCAGGGAGCTTGGGATCAAGCGAAGCTACAAAAGAAAGGTAAGACTTGCTAAGCAAATTGATTTGTGTTTTAAAACAACTTTACGTGACAGGAAAGTAATTTGCTTTTTATTTCCTTTCATGTTTGAAAGGGAGATCTGCCCATAGGGATCAAGGGGAGGGACTCCTTTGATCACAAATATAAAACGTGTAACACAAACCCCAACCAGGAACATCCCTCCTCCCAGAGCGCTGCTCCTTCCCCGAGTTCGGATCGCCCTCTCTGCCCTGCACAGCCAGTCCCGACTTGCCCTTTCCGAAACCATCCCATCACTCCTGCCAAGTCCCACTTGCTCCTTTTCTGCCTGTTAACACCTCCCAGCCAGTGAGGAGAAATAATTTCGGCAAGCCAAGAAAAATGCGACTTCCAACCCACAGCCAACCTGTGCTCGATGGAGGGGATCCCATTATACTGCTTTTCTTAGTTACACAAATTGACCTTATGTGGGACATAAGTCCTCTTTAAGTTAGTTCCTGAGGGTGCCATTCATTAGTCAGACATGCTTGTTTTAGCAGCACTAAAACGGGATCATAAACTTCTTAAAGTCATACAAGGACAGATAAAATTTCTGAAATGGGAACTTCAATTCGGCTAATCAGACACTGGATTAATGCCGACAGGGAACAGAATAAAGGAGCCACTGTCACTTACCATTAAACTTTCAAACTCCGCATAGAACTTCTTGAACTTGCTTGGCAGTTTCTGTTAATGAAATGAAAATGCCACACTCGCACGGCAGATTCGATATCTAGGTGTGCATCACGTGCTACCATTTCTGGGGGAAGTGTATTTCTTTTGGCTCTTAATCAAACAGCTCTAGGACAGGCCAGACCATAATCTGCCCCGTCACTTGAGGATAATCTTCTGGAATACAGAGAACTCATCTTTTAAAAGTCTTAACCTAGTTCAGTGGTCGGCAAACTGCGGCTCGGCAAACTGTGGCTCGTGAGCCACATGCAGCTCTTTGGCCCCTTGAGTGTGGCTCTTCCACAAAATACCGGCTCTTCCACAAAATACCGACTTCTGCGCATGGGCCACGAAGTTTCAATCGCACTGTACTGTGTGCGTGCCCGTACGTGGTATTTTGTGGAAGAGCCACATTCAAGGGGCCAAAGAGCCACATGTGGCTCGCGAGCCACGGTGTGCCGACCACGGAGTTGAACCAAAAATAACTATGGATGCTTTGGTCTTCATACCTTTATAATGTTTTCTGAAATGCACCATTCATAAAGAGAACTGCATCCCCAGATTACAGATGTTTTGGAATCGAACTCTCTGATTCCCACAATTAGGAATTTAGACCAGAGAATATTAGGATTACAAATTTGAGAAACTCCCCTTTTTAAGCCTTCTCCCTTAGGATGTGAGCTACACGAGAACAGGGATTTTCACCAGTTTTGTTTACTGCTGTAGCCTTAGTACCAAAAAGTGTCAGGAACACAGTGGGTGCTCAATAAATATTTATTTGGCTAGATTAGACCTGTGTTTTACAGACATGAAGTCCCACAGTTTAAATGAAATGCCCAACGTCACACAGCTGGTTATGGTCGCAGCCTCTGGAATTCCATCGCCTGCTTCCTTCCTTTCCTGTGGCCTCTCTTGTCTGCGCCACGCCCTCCTACCCAAGCATTTCCCACACAGGATTTCTCAGCCCTGCTGTCACACACAAACGGACAGTTCCACCAATTTAGTAATTTCTCATGCTTATCCTTGGGCACATGATTCAACACCACTGACTGTACCTGTGCATCTACCGCAGTAGGCCGATACTGAAACGTCTTCAGCCTATGGTTCCCAGCTTTTAGGAAGGCTGAACTTTTCCCTTCTGACTGGGCCACACCAAGAGAGAGCAGCGTGGCCCGCTTGCCGTCCTGCGGCTCTGGGAGCACTGACCGTCCTGGGCCTCAGAGATTTCCAGCTCTGCTCTGCACAGTGACGTCATCAACCTATTCACAGAAAAACTTTCTTCTTTCCCCCTCATATCTGAGTCAGTTTAAATAGTCCCACTTAGTCACTGTAAAATATTATTTTGTCTTTAGGAAGCCAAATTCACTTTCCTGGCACCTATTTTCAATTTAGGCTTCAGGGACACTTGATATCCTTGCCTCGAGGGGATGTCCAAAGGGATGAAAGCTGGGTGGGCATCAAGAGACGCAGGATCTCATCCCACACGAAGTATCCAGATCCTCATACTAGGAGATAACGTTCCACGAACACGGACCATTTTAAAAATTAGGAGTGAATTCGTTTTGCTTAGACCTCTCACACTAGTTCTCTTTCTCTACTTAGCTGGCTTTTGTGTCAACGGCAGGAAGGCGTATGGTAATAAAACAATGTTGTGGGTCTTAATACTATTATCTACCTACACCCCAGAGCAGGGGTGCTCAACGGGGCAATTGTGCACACACCAGGGCATACTGGATAATGTCTGCAGACATTTTTTGTTGTCATGGGTGTGGGGTGAGGTGGCCAGTGCCGCTGGTAATCAGTAGGCCGAGGCCAGGGATGGTGGTAAGTGTCCTACCACGCACAGGACGGCCCCCACACAGAATGACCCTGCCCCAAATGTCAATACTGCTGGGGCCAAGGACCTGTTCCAGGTTATCACCGCCATGCGCTTTATCACACATCGGCCTTTGCCATGTGGTTTAACTTGATATTTTGTTCAGCTCATGGACAGTTTCATGTGGTTGGGGGTCAGGCGCCAGTGCCCACACTGCTCATGCACCATCCCGGTTCTCACTGCAGTTGCAGGGAAGCCCTTGGGAGTGCTTGGCAAGTCCAGGTAGATAAATCCAAATCAAAGATCCTTCTGCTGAGTGATATAATTATATTCATCTTAAAAAAAAAATAAAGGCTTGCAGGCGATGAAAGGTTAATCTTCTCTTTTCAGCAACATGCGAGGATGAGAAGAGAAGCTCACAGAATGAGGGATGCTTTCCTGTTCCCCGTGAGACAGGAGGACTGGCCAGGTATTTCTCTGCCTTTGCTGACTGCAGCCCGCCGGCCCGCCCCCCCCCTCCCCCCCCAACGAGCCTCCATTTTCCTCTTTAGGAGGAAAGGGGACTCCGACAGTGTTTCCCACATGCGACAGCCTTCATGTCTGGCTGCTGTCGTGCGGGCCTACACGGGGCCTTCCCGAACCCCTAGGAGGCTTTATACTTCTTTCATCATCCCAACCAACTCATTTGCATTCGAGGGGCAGGAAACAGGTTGGGGAAATCTGCGGGGAACCCCTAGGTCTCCAGAGAGTCCCCTGGGCACAGGACAAGGGAGCCTGCGCAGTGGCTTCGCTGCTCAGCTCCCCTGGCAGCACTAAGGCTGTCCTTCTGGGTGGAAGGGGACACAGCTGCAAGGCACGTGGGCCTCGCCAATGCCCTCATTCCTATATTCAGGGGATGAGCTGCTGTGTGCTGCATCTGCCTGGAATTTTAAGAGAAAACCAAGACAGAAGGACGTGTGAGGACCTGCCCTCTACACAATGTTTCCGGTGAAGAAAACAGTGTCAAAAGGGACACGGGGAAGGAAACCTTTCACGGAAACATTTAGAGATGCCATCAGCTGCCCGGAGCACCCATGCAAACCCCGACTCTGTTATCTCCTTCTTGCCCTCTTTCTGTGTCCCACTTGCACAGGCTTTTTATTTTTAGTAAGCGTCTATTTTTGTGTGCATGTGCTCTTGGAGCTTAGTCTTCCTTTGACTACATACCTCCTCCGTACACGAAAGGACAATACCTTTTCGATGCGCACTCCGAGGCACATTTTGAGGACTTAGCTGATGAAAAAAATGAAGATGTCCTCTAGCATAAATGATCAACTATCAATAAACCACTGATCACATTTGCTACCGAAGTTCACAACACACTTGCATAACTTTTGCCCCAAACTGACTACTAGCCAACTGCTGTTCCTCCATCCACAGCCAGGTCTGCCAGGCAGTTGGTACTCAACGGGGCCAAACAGTTGGCCTTCTGGCTAATTCTCCCAGCAGCAAAATGACTACTTAGAGGGGAGAAAAAAGGATCTTCTGTCTTCTCTTAATTATAGATAAGGTTTATTGCAAAAGGAATAACCAGGCATCCCAGAGAACAATGGGATCTATGAGCAAGACCTTTGTTGTTGATTCCCACGACACCTGGGAACTAGACTTGGGCTTATTTACATTATACAGACCGAGAAGCTGAGAACCCCTCCGCACACTTCAGGACAATACCTTCTTCAGTCCACACTCTCGGCAACTGGAAAAGGGAGACAGGTCACCTCCCTCAAAGTGTCCCCCCTTTCCCATTGTTACACGAGTGTGAGTGATATTTCTATACAGAAAGCTCACGGGTGAGCCTGTGTTTTTATTCTTCAGGCAAAAGTCACAGCTGGATCTCAGCTGAAGCTTACCTCCCACGTTAGTGCCAAGCGGCTCACAGCAACATTACTTAGGCCCATGACGATGGCAAAAAAGGAATTCAGATTTTTGTACTCCTTACAGCTGAAACACAAGAGGCACAGGCTTGAGTAAAACGCCACTTTTGAGTGAGATAAAAACATTAGAGTTTTTATTTGCTGATAGTCATTCATATTTGTCAAGACTCCTTTATGAGACCGGGCAATGATAGATTGAACGCACTGTATAAGGTCCACGTGGGTGACCACGCTCTGCTGTTTGGTTTCTCACTGTAATTTTAGAAAGGTGATGGTTTGGGTTAAGTCCAGGTTTTGTTTTTGTTTTTTAATATACTCTTATTGATTTCAGAGAGGAAGGGAGAGAGAAACATCAATGACGAGAGAGAATCATTGATTGGCTGCCTCTGGCACGCCCCATACTGGGCATGTGCCCTGACTGGGAATCCAACTGTGACATCCTGGTTCATAGGTCGATGCTCAACCACTGAGCAATTCCGGCTGGGCTAAGCCCAGGTGTTGAGAAGGAATTTAAAGACACCTGCCCTAGGTGTCTCTGTTATCTCCTTCTCGCCCTCTTTCTATGTCCCACTGCCCTAGGGATGGTTATCATGACCCCCAAAGCTTGCTGAAAGCCTCGTGGGACCCGAGGGAAGCATCTCAGATAGCCACATTGATTCGGGGGAAGGGTTTGCACTTACTGCAAAATGAGTTCTTCTTTCCCTTTTCAAGGAGCAGGTATGGAGTTGGGGTATTAATCCAAGTACCTGGGCTAAATATTGCCATGCTAATAAGTGTCTTTGGTCTTGTCCCACAATATTCTTATTCCCAAATATATATTTAGAAAAGCTAATAGTGGCATACGTATAGATTCAAAATGATCAGCTTCATTAACATCAATAAAACACAGAGAAAACAGGTTATTATTATTTTTGGGGGGGTCAATTGCTTAGGTGTTTTTTCTCAGCTTTAAAACTCCTTGAGTCGACAGGGATCATGGCAGGTACATTGGCCTTTTTTGATAGCTTAGAAGCATTTGCAGGGCAGCTGGAAGTCATGGTGGCTGCAGCACTGTGATTTCCTGTTCTCTCTCCAGCTGCCAGAGGAGGTGCCCTGCTTGGGTAACAGTTTTGTAAAAGGCGAATTAACTTGTAGCATTTGCTGCCCCTGTTCTTGCAGAGATGGCAACGAGGGGTTCTTCAATGGTCTGTGTGGAAATGGGAAGACATTTCGGAGATGCTCCAGTGTATCTGACCCCATCAGTGCAAAAGGGAGCAGGCCAGGGCTGAAGGCAGTGAGCACGATCATGGGCACACTGCCTTTGTCCTGTCGATGTGGTCTTAAAAGAAAGCAGGCAGGATGCAGACTTGCCCTTCTGGTCACTACTCTGGTCACTGTTTGCAAGTGACTACCCCCCTAAGCAAGCCATGACATTTCTCTATGCCTCAGTCTTATCACCTGCAAAAGGGGATGATGGCATTTGGACCCCCAAGTTCCCACAGTTCTGGGCGGGTCAAAGACCTTCAACAGGATATGCTGAGGGTTCTCTAAAAAATACCGGACCACATATTGATGCCACTGGGCTTAGCCCTCCGCCTGCAGCTCTTGGTCGATGAACGTGTGCAATCTTCTCCTCAGGGCTGTGCAAACAGTGCCACTGTAGGACAGCACGGATTCATAATGGTTCAGTAAGATAAACCAATGAAAACCGCATGTCCAATCCACTACTCACTTACATAATCGGAAAGGCAAAAATAGGTTTAAAAAAGTCCTGAGCTCTGAGAGGCTCTGCTGCGTCGCCCTGTAAAATCACGGGGCTGGGCCCCCACGGCTTCCCGGTCTCCCGCGTCTGCGTGCAGACTGCCGCTCGTCCCCTGGCCGCACTTGGCGCTGGCAGGCTGAGGGGAGGAAGAATGTGCTCCTTGCACCGGGAAGGCATACATTGTCACAGTTTCCATAATCATCTCCTCCCAAACACGTGAAGGCATTTGTCCTTTGCGACAAGGCTATTCAGGCTCCCAGGGAAAGTGGCTACACTCTGAACCAGAAATTCATAAACAACCTTTTACCACATCTTTCTTCAAAAGGGAAGCTTTTCCCAATTAAGAGAAATCAGCATTTGAATCCAGGGGATTTGGATATCCTGGGGAACCTTCAAATTTTTGGCAAAAAAAAAAAAAAAAAAAAAAGGAAGCAGTTGGCAAGCCAATGTCAAGCAGCACTGACTTCTTTGTTTAGCCCCGGAAATCAGCCTCTGTATGGGATCTAAACTGCTTGGCTCAAGAAAATTGCCTGGCTGGGATCACTGTGCACCCCACCTTCCTGCACCCCCAGCTCCCTGCATTCAGAAAGAAAAGACATCTCCCAGCCACAGGCCACATTTAGCATTTTATTTTTAGCACTGTGGTGATACCAAAAACATGGACGTAAACAGGAGGTTGTCAGGCCTATCTAAATAGCAGAAGATTAAATTCAGGTCAGGGAGAAATCTAACTGGCCCCTGCAGTAAATAAATTGTTTCCCATGAACTGCTCTTAAATAGAATATTTATAAGATGCTTGCTTTTTCTGATGTTTTATGGAGATGATTTTCATGTACCAGGTTAGCTCGCCGTTAGGCATTTTACCAATTTTATTCAGGCTGAGTTGGAAGTGCGTGTGCCCACTGCCCTCTACTGGTGAGAATGCGTCATGTTCGACACCGACTTCAAGGGCCTCCTGAAACCGAACTTTCCACAGCAGAACTTTGCCGACACCGAAAAAGGCACAAAGTCTGAGTAGTTCAGAGCAAAAAGGGGTCACGATTTCAGCCCCAGCATCAATGCTGTGAGATGTTAATTTATATAAGGATGTCAAATATGACAAAAACAGGATGCAATTCATCTTTTACAAGAGGGTGATTATTCTTAAGCCCCGTGGTCGGTCCTGGTGCACAAGGAGACCCTATATCATGCTTTTCTTTTTAAGGTGTAGACCGAGAGGACAACATAAAGACGCAGCCCCAACACTTTTCTCTTCCCACGCTAATGATACTTACTGGGCTGCTATTTTAATAAATTTTTTTAAGAGCTGAACACGCTTGCTGGGCTGGGAACAAAGGCAAATCTCGGTGACAACCCAAAACTGAATTTCATTAAATCTCCTCAGAAACAAATCCAAGTTTGCTGTGGTCTTTTTAAAATTATGCCTTCCAAATGTGTGATAGATTAGCTCCAGCTAGAAGAGAAAGGAAAACAATGTCACTTCTTTGCTTTTCAATCAAAAACACCAGCAAGGCTTCTCTCTTTGTCGAGACAAATCAACACTGGTCAGCGAATGTGGACGTAATCACTGACCAGGATTCCATCTGTCCTCTGGGCCCGAAGGGCTTCCAAGAGGCTTGCGAAATATATTTACGGTCAACGAGGTGCTGTTGGCTTCATGTACTCGGGGACACAGAGCTTACTGTAAATCATACAGATTTTTCTTTAACACTCAAAGGCTTTATGGCAGGCTGTATTAATAAACTGAGTATTAAAACAACGATCATGTGGTTTCCACATTGCAGCCCGCATTAGCATCGGCAGCTGAGCGATGCCAGCAGCGGCCGCGGGAACGGCTGTGTACCTGCTAACGCTCTCAATCAAGCGGCTTACCTCATGCACGCAGTTGAAGAGCTCCCAATCATAAATTGTCATCTGGTATGCTAAATCTTTCGAGCTCATCAGTTCAAAAGTTCCCACTGTTCCGACAGTTGGGCCTTCCTGTTCTGGCAAGGGCGTCTATGAATAATCATGCAAAAAATATCAGCATCTCAAAACAGCCGCGCACTTACTGCTGACTGCTTTAAGGAGGGGAAAGGATTCGGTTAAGGCTTTCAGGAACATCTTGAAACTCTGCTTTTACCCAGAGGGCAAAGAGGCCTTCACTCCCCATGCTCACTCGCTCCGGTACCCTCTCTCTACTCATCGCCACTCTGATCAGTTTCACTCGCTGGAACACATGGACGTCACAAGTCAAATTCAGAGCAGTGTGAAGGGGAGGCTCCCTCCTGCCTGGGCCTGGGAGCTCCCTGGAAACAATGCCTGTTCTCTGGTAACGATGTGAGAGGTTCCTGGAGGCTTTCCCCTCCTATTTCCCAGGGAAGCTGTTCCAACAGGCACGGCCATCTAGCCACAGGGCTAGTTACTACCTACCCTGCCGGGGCTGGTGACTGTGGTTGAGTTGCCACAGCTCCATCTCTTACAGCATGTCGCCTGGGTTACAGGTGACGGGGCTCTGTGTGCTGCGGCGCATCCCCTCTCCGGGAGATGTTGTGCAAAGGACGGTTCTCACATGGGCCTGGTGGTTTGGGCAAGGTCTCAGAAACCCAAACTCCGCTACTCTCTGGAAGTCCCTCAGTCAGAACTTTCCATCCAACTTACTTATTTCCTTTTACTTTATGAGAAGTGATTTGCAGTCCTTTCCTTAGTAAAATAAATGATTCATATACATCGGAAACATGTATGAAATATTAATACCTATCCCTCTATGATATATGTACAAAGTTATACAAGTCATAGGAAGTGAACAAGAATTTCCTTCAAATCATGTATGCCATATATAGATATTCAGTATTTAGACTGGAAGTACAACACTGTACAAGTTGTACCATCATCATTATTGTCATCACCCTAACTGTTACACTCTATAAACTGCATTCTGGGCACTAAAGAAATGACATATTCAGGATGTGGGCGGTCCCTGCATTTGAAAGTTGGCATCTAAGAGAGGAGTGCGCCCTGACCAGCAAGTACCGCACCGCACATCAATAAAGAGTCAACTGCTGGCATTCATTTGCACGAATGCGGGGCAGAC